CTATTGAGACTATATTTTTTACTGAACTATTACTAGACCCTGATACAGAAATAGACTTACAAGATAGTATATTATAACGAGTCTATAATCTAATAAAAAGGCTATTACAAGTACAAGAAGAAGCTTGAATGAATACAAGAGAAATAGAAGAAATATTTTGATGTCAGAATTAGACCAGAAGAATTTGAAATTGGTAAAAAAGTTTGAATACAAATAAAGGCATTTGAAAAACAAGATTAGTTAAATTCGAATACAAAAAAAAAAACCCTGTATTATACAAGTGAAGTTGAATAATAGAGCATATAGACTACAAATATTAGATAGAAAAATACTATATAAATACTATAATAGTGATCAACTAGCAAAGTATCACAAGAAACAGACATAGAAACTAATCGTTGTGATTAAAAATCCTTAATTTCTAGAAGAAATTTTATTGGACAGGGAGAGACAAAAACAAAATTTTGTGAAACAAACAATTATACAACTTAAAAATTATAAATAGACACTTTATTAAAAAATTCTCTAATTTATATATAATACACAAATAGCTATGCACAATAATATCTTGTAACCTATAACTATCCAAGCCCTTCAATACTTTCTTACTATTTGAAGACAGGACTCTGTAACCCAAAACAATTTAGAAATTTGTTCTTCTAACATCTTTTTGTGGAATCCTAATGACTCTAATAATACTAGTAATATTATTTCTCTAGTAAATACCACAATAGATATCTCAACTGACCTATCAATATAGAAGCTCTCTTGGATAATATTTTAACTAAAGACTCAAAAATCGACTTAACCCAAAACAATCCTTCATCTGATACAGAACTAGAAGTGAACCCTATACTAGACAATTTTTCTCTCGAAATAAAACCAGAAACAGAAATTTTTCAAAAAGTTTGAAATAAACTTACTTAATCTCTGACTCCTCTATCATATAACTATCCTAATCTTTTTATTGATAGAACTTGAAAAGACCAATTGACCAAAATTCTTTGACAATTAGAAGATAAAAGCCAAACTCAACTCAAATAGATAAAGGTTCTTGAAGTTTATCTGTATTTAAGAATTTCTATTCAGAAACAACCTAATAAATGACAACAAATTTATGAACATATTCAGGCTTCTCAAGATTCTTGAAAAACTCAAAATATTTAAAAAGAAGCTACTTGACTTCAACAGATCTTTAGCATTCAATCTAAAGAATTGTTGTATCAGACCTGATACTTTACTATTACTCGTATTATTAAATTTACTGATAAAGAGTATTAATCTTTAATTAAGAATTTGCTAAGCAAATTTTTATAAGAGAATGAAAATGTTATAGAACGGTTTATTATTTTATTAGTTTATTATTTTGATATTGTATTTTATTATTTATTATTTTATTATCTCATTATTATTTAGTATTATTTAGTTATTATTATTAAAGTAGAATTTAACAGACATGTATTATACTTAATGCTTAATAATTAACATTTTCAATTAACGATTACATTTAGCGATTAACGATTAGTGATTACGCTTAGTGATTAATGATTAATGATTACACTTAGTGATTAACAATTAGCGATTATACTTAGCAATTATGATTAGTACTTAATACTTAATGATTAGCAATTACACTTTACGCTTAGCATTAAGTAGTGAATCAAGTCGACTCCAAAAAATTGACTTGACTAAGTCGACTCAAGTCGATTATAAATTTCAGTTTTTAACTGAAAGTCAATTTCGATATCATGTGAACATATAGCACCAATCAAAGCTTAAGTGATATACCGATACTTCATTAAACTGAAATCTACACGTGCAAGAGTATGCATGAATATATATTTTTTCTGCACGTGTAAATGCACAAACTTTTAACTCGATCCTAAAACATAATGATAAGTTGTAAAATACATAACTTTATATTTCAAAGTTTTAAACGAAATATTGTATTTAGCAAAGTTAACTGTAATGAGCGCTGTAATAGGTCTAATATTTGATCTTAATACTTTTATTTAAAATATGTACTTAGTATTTAAAAATACAGATCCATTATAAACTATGAATATATTTATTATTTCATTTGTACTGAAGCTTATTTAGATATACCTATTCAAGATCTGGATAAATATTGAAATTCTTATTATTTTCTTTTAAAAAAACTAGATCATGAACAGTTTCAGGAAGTATTCTATTTTTTTTATCAGTTAACACATTTCTGGCTATTGAAAATAAATATTCAGAAGGAACAGAGGTTGCAGAGATTGAAAGATACCAATGGGCTAGTTGTGCAAGTAAGGATAATATTTTTGAGTATAATTGCCACCACGAAAGTAGGTTTTTAGTTTTATATTCTAAATCGTTAGAATCATATAGTGCTATTTGAGGAATATCAAAATATGTTTTCAATTCTGTATCGATTGGAGAAAATTTCTTGATAATAGGTAGTATTGTTGAAAAAAGATGCTAAATTTGAAAATGATTTTACTGTTGGTTGTTTCTCTAAATATTCATTCTCATCTAATACTATCATTTTTTGTTTGAGATATTGTTTTGTTTCTTCGAATTTTTCTGGGGCAAATTTTAGATTTTTAAACAAGGATCCAAGATTGCAGCTAAATATCTTTCTATTTTTGGATCTTTCTATTAATCGGCTATATTAAGCTCGATCTCATTTCTAATGTCACAAATAACTTGATGGGTAAGGATTTTTTCTAGTTTAAACAAGTGTTCTTGAAGGGTTGCAATTGTTGAAAGCATAAGAGAGAGTGTGGGATATGTATTACCACCCATTAGACATATTGCACAAGCAAAAGATTCTAATAAACTAATAAGTTCTTTAAGACCTAATAATTCTTCTTTATTTAACAGTAAAGCCTCTAATTTTTTTCTATCTTTACGAATTTCTCAATCAGCATTTTGAACCATTTTTTTAACAAGTAATTAGATTGATTTATAAGAATTCTAACACATAGAAGATATTGTGGCTATTGGTTCTAAAAGTTGTCCACAACTTGTAGCACAATTATTTTTTTTTATTTATTTCTTCTTGTGTATTTTTTAGCATTTCTCTGTATTTATCTCTATTAACTAAAAAACTATTTAATTCTTTTGCTTTATCAATTAATCTTGTTACTTCACTAGATTTTAAAAAATTGGTAATTGAAAATTGAAGAGTGTGTGCTGTGCAACGAATATAAATTATACCAAGATTAGTCATTGCTTTAACCATTGATAAAATATTGTCTGTTGTTCCAGCAATATATTTTTCTAAGATATTCTATTTGGCAAACTTACGTCTCAAACAATCTTCGATATGTTCGCCAGTGTGGGGATAAGAAAATTCTTTGATAGTTATAAGTATTTGATTTAAATAAAAATCAGAATCAAGCCAATAGGCTATGATTCCGATATATGGTTTATGTGCACTGGTTCAAAGATCAGTTGTAAATAAAAATATATTCATAGTTGTTTGAAAAAGATCAAGTATTTTATTTTCTCCAAAGTTAACTGCATCATGAATTTTTTTTTTAATGTATCTTGGTACAGAATTTGATAGTGGGATTCAGCCTCATATACAAAATCATAAAATTTATCATTTTTTATTATATTAAATGCCAGTATATCATCAATCAACCATGCCAAAAGTCTAGATGTTAATCTATCCTTTTTT